AAAAAAAAAAAAAAAAAAAAAAAAAAAAAAACAAAATAAAGTGACTATACAAAAAGAAAGTTTCATTTAAACATGCTTTTAAAGTTACAGTTTATTTTTCTGTAAATCTTTTAGCTCTTTAAAAAATTTATCATTTTGTCTAAAAGATTGTTGTTTTAGTAACCCAAACTGTTTAGATGCGCTACAGTCAAACAAAATTGATGATTTACTTAAAAGGGATGTACATACTGATGAAAAACATTGGAAACTAGACGAAGTTGATGAGTTGGTTAATCGAATGTCCTGGAAAGATGAGATTGAAGAAATAAAGGAGGATATTAGCGGAGAATTAAATAAAAATCCAAAAGTGAGTAATTCTAAAGTGGATTCTTATGGAATGGTTGATAAGTTAAAGGCTGGCGAAATATTGTAGGAAGAAGTGGACTTGTGGAGAAGTCAACATTATGGAAGGTCGGGCAGAGATGAAAGTGGGAGTGTGAATGAAATATTTGAAGAGATGGAACCTGAACAACTTGACAGCATTGAAAGTGTGTTAGAAACCGATTCATTTCAAGACGATTTTTATGGCTTTTTCTTTAATAGCGTTGAGTTCAAGTAAAATGATTTTTGTTTAACATTTTTACAAACCTTATACAGTTATTTAAACCTAATGATATTCTGTACCAACAATGAACGTATAGCAGTGTTACGGCTGTAAACAAGCGAAGAGGAGCTATTTCGTTTATTGAGAGCATTAATTGAGCACTTAACTAGTCAGAAATTTAATATGAAGTAATTTAACTGTTGCAGTAATCTTTGTTAAAGATATGTAAGAGATTGTTGAAAAAAAAAAGAAACTTAAAGATTCTGTGTGCTATCTGAAACAACATCGTTCCTATTACAGCACCATCGACAGTTACTAACTACACATCTGTTTTATCATAAAACCTATTTGCCCATTCAGTTATTACTGGTGCATTATCAGTTGTCAGTTAAATTACCAAACACTAGTAAATTACCTCGTTTTATCCTAATGGAAGATCGTGATCTAAATAAAATTCTATTAACGAAAAAACTGCAGTGTAATTATAAATGAAATTTATGAGTGTTTTTTTATTGGTGTTCAATAAACAGTTGCATGTTATTTTTTCTTCTGACAACGTTTATTTAAGTTAAATTTCAATTTTTTATTTCAATTTTATTTTCTGACCTTTCAACGAGTTCAACGATGCTTAATGGTTTCAATGAAAGCAGTATAGCAAGTATTCATACAAGCATATAACCAATCAATCATTTGTTCACTAAATATAATCTGTAAACAACGAATATGAAAAAAA